CGGGCCTTGGGCCTCTTGTCTTAAATATATTGAAATTGAAATTGAAATTGACATATGCCTCATAAGCCCACTTGTTCACAGTGGCTTTCCTATTACCATCTCAATGGATCCCTCTCTGTTGAAAGAGCGCGAAGCGTTCTTGCGTCGGGCAAGAACCATGCAATATGTGGAGACTCCACGAATAACTCAACCATCCGTGTCCTCGTCAGCCAAAAGTAGTAGTCCTGGCCCTTCCCCGGCCAAGCGTGCCGTTACAACCCCAGCTCAAAGAGACTACTTAACAGTAGACTCCCGCCCTCAAAACCAGGGCCGATTTGCACTCCTATCAAAAGTTGTAAAATACATGAAGGTATCTGTTTAAACTAGAAGTTTCGAGCCCAATTAGCAACGCCATTTAGAACGTGACATCCACCCACTTTCCGTCGACGAAATCCTGGAAGAAACCATGCTTCAGGACGCCCCCTTGTCAGATGTCAAGTGGCTTGAAACTGAGGTATGGCTATGAATGCTATGCAGCGGATGCATCATATTCATTACGATATTTGATCCAATCGTGTTTTCTGTTACTCCACGTCCCCTGATCGAGGTCTCGGTTTGCCGATTTATCATTTGAATTGCAACCCTAAGTCCCCATATCGCGGACCGTATTTCTGCCCTTCTTTATTCAATGATCATGATCAAGGCCACATTGAAAGCCTAAATTCTGCTCATTTTTTGGAGACATAAGGCAGTGCATGGCTCTGTTTCAAACGCGGAGTGCTTCTTCCTTCTTTAGTAAGGTCAATTGTATACTTAGCACCGACGAAGGGAGTCGCCTAAATAATTTTCCAACATTATAATAGTTGCGAATGCCTGCATCGTAGATCCCTTCTGTCAAAGTAGCCGATGCTACCGTTTGAACTGCCCAAAGTTGTTGTAGATTAGCCTGCTGGCCTGTCGACCCGAGGCGTGTGTCGGAGGCGATTGCGTTCTTTGTTATTGGAGCCTAATTTGCGGTTTCGAAGTGCGCTGCATCTAAGAGTAGACCGTTGTGATCGGCAGAAGCTGTATAGTATGTAACTACTTCGTTTATGAAAACCATTTGGCAAGCATACGCGTGCTTTCGATAAATTCTTGTTGACCAGCACACTTATGAGGAAACAGGGTATAAGCTTGATGCTTTTTTTTCATTCGAGTGTAGCGCATAAATAGGTGT